TCCAGAATTTGCCGTAGTATCCAGATAATGTCCGGAATCCACCATGTTTCGGTATAAATTCCGGACAATATCAAGACTTCACGCAATGTCCAGAATCCACCATGTTTTGGTATACTTTACGGACGATTTCGATATTTTCCGGACATTTTCCACATGCACCCGGACATTTTCGATAACATTTTCTGGACAATTTTTTTTTATAGGGTGCAAATATTGCTAAAGTTTAACATTTAAGAATGCTACTCGGATATTATTGTTTCGCAGTAAGGTAATAATTTTCGTGAATACAGTGTCTTTTTTGTAAAACAAATGTCAATGCGATATTATACTGAGCATCATCATCATATTTGTCGGTCAATTAAATCCGGATATTCTTAACTGTCGGATTATAACTCCGTACAGATCGACCATTAAACGCGCAACGATCAACAGAGAAAATTATCTATAAATACAACTATTAGTTCTACTCTCACCTACAACTAAGAATAATCATAATAAAATAAGTTTGAAAGATTCTTTTTATTTACTGAATTTATTCTGAAACATGTTGGTAAGTAATCTATCATGATGTTATGCTTAAATAATTTTTCATCGGCTCAAAGTGGGGTGTTTGTTTTAAAGGCCAATGTTTATACACTTTTTCTTACATAACCTTTTGATTATATATTTTAGAAAAATGATGGAACAAAATACGAAATCGAAACATACAAAATCGTTGATTCATCAAATGACATACATGCTTGGACGACCAACGTTAGATTGGGAAAAGGAGATAAAGGAGTTGATATCATTGGAAGTTACAAAGAAATGCAATTTATCATCCAATGCAAAGATTTTGCCAAAAAATTGAGCATTAATTATGTGAGAGAATTGAATGGAATCATGACAAATAATTCCAATTTGTTGAGGATAATGGTTTCAAGAGGGGGTTTTACGAAAAATGCATTAGATTTCGGGAAAAAGAATAAAGATTTGATACTTACAGATTTAAATAATATATTATCAGAGATTCAGAATCATTACGAGAAAAATAAAATCGAAATAAGTAATGCGAGAGAGCATGCCAGAAATCTGTGCCAGGTTTGTGGCGCAGCGATGACAAATAACGAGTGACGAATAGGATTTAGACCAATCAAAAAAAACCAAGTCGATGAAATAAATATAAAAAATGCGTCACGACAATCACATGATCAATTTACAGTTAACCATCACATCCATAGAACCAGCCACATTAATTATGAACTGCGTCACTAACAATTTCAAACATTATTTTATTTTTCATACTTTGTATTTCATATCTAAATTATGTGTATTTTAAATGTGTTATAGTATGACTCAATTTATACTGTATCAAATAAAATTTTCATTTATATTATTATATATTGTTAATTAATAAAATAGATTCCGTAATAAATTATTAAATTTCTTTATAATGCCACAAATGCAAAGTTTTATATGTAAATATGATGCAAATCACGCTTTATTCAGTCCGCACGTATATTTTGGAAAAAATCTCCATGGAAAACATTGAGAATGGGCATCTCTTTCTTTTTATAGCAACTGAACTTATTAAAAGCTAGATGCTGGTTTGCAAAATTAGAAAACATTCTCATTACTATTTGCTCATTTGATAAAAAAGTTTATTGAAATAGCATGCTTCTCTTATGCTTTTAAATTATGAATTAATGATAAATCATCAATTTTGATGGTACAATACTTAAATCTCTAATCATCGTTATGAATACGACGTGGACAATCCATGTATATTGGTATTTATCATACGCATATATTTGTTTCTTACTTAAATTATTTATCAATTTTATTAGATTTAGTATTAGGGAGATATGTTCTGTATTACTCATAAATATATTAATAATAACTATTTAGCCATATGGGAGGTTTGCTAGGAAAATGGGGCTCTGGGGATTTTTCAACAAATTTTGTTTTTATTGCATTTAGTTTTTGATGTTATTAGATTAAAATGTAATAAGGTCTTAATTTTTAGTCAAAAGAATTCCCAGAGCCACATTTTCCTAGCAAACTTCCCATATCTGGATCAATTCGGGTCACAGTCAATGGCTAAGTCGACTTTGTAAAACACAAACTCTGCTATTTTCGTGAATGATCCAAATTTTATACGTTAATTTACGTCCGCTTTTCTTTCTTCTTTTCTTTTTGCTAGCGACAATAATAAATTAAGAAGTTAATTGTATAAAATTTTACTGTGCATAATAGTATCAAAATGCATTTGGATAAATAAGTCTCAGAAGGAAGAATATTTACTTATTAGATTAAGTTTATTTTAACAAATTATACAATACAATTATGTTAAAAAAAAAAAGATTTAGGCGTAAAATCCGGTGATTTATTAAATACCACATCAGGAAACAATAAATATACTATATACGAGAAAATGTATCGTATGGTCTTGATTCTCGCACGAAAATTTTCTACTTTCGATGTTTCGGATATTAGAATTTAATAATCGAGTCGGGCGCTAAAAACCCTAAAAACCTTAATGTTTTACTTTTAAAATAG